GTGTTGCAATACTTTTGACGCGCACTGTACATCGCCACTCGCCTTCAGTTACCAGATTACCTCCGGTGATCAGACTGCTCGTTGTCCGTCGTTCTTAAATTTCTCAGATCTTCTAGATTTCAACTAAGATCTTAGGTCTCCACGCTGTTTTCTTGATCTCGAGAGGTAGGAAGTCACAAGTTGCCGATCGGAAACAGTTTTGCCAGATATTGGGTTACCGGTAGTCTCACCTCTCCATTTCTACTCGCCTTCTCTTGTACCTTCGTCGTCATATCCGCATATACACCAATATACCAGTGAACTCTGCTCCCATCCAAAGTGCGAAAGAAGACTATGAACGAGTTCATTTCTTAACAGCGATCACACCGAGACCGCATATGCCCACAAAATATAGTCGAGATCAAGCTGGGGTGGGAAGATTAAATCCGAGTGAGACTGAGCACCCGCATAATATTGGCGAGATATAGTAATTGGGTTTTCAATAACGTCAATTTTCTGTTTACACACGTATCTACGAACACAAAGCACATAGTATCTCCTATTTAACATCCGTATACCAAAGCCACATGTCCATCATCATGAAAGGGAGGAAGGAGAAATATAGAAGGCAATCCTACAGCAACGACACAGCTGTCGTAACTCGTCAAACACCGCGTGCATATCGTACACACATATCCGGAAAAATCAGAAGGGCCAGAGGGGTCGAGAAGCTGAGAGGGTCATATACGGCTTTCGCCTATGCCTCTACAATCAATCACCCCGAAATTAATTAAAGACACGCACGAAAAGAAAGGTGGGAGTGGAGGCTGAAGTCGGGAGAGAGTCAAACCAATCAAACAGACAAACATCGAGAGCAAGAGCAGCAGCAGTCAATCAACCAATATATACGATACGAATGCACGAATGGGAAGAATGAGAAATCCAAATCGCGGTAATCCCGATATCTGAACGTTCGTCAAAAAGCTTCGGGAGTTTAAACACCGCCCGTCGTGTAGCAACGGATGGCGGAGGTGGAGGGGGGAAATGAGGCGAGGGGGAGGAAGAATGGTTTAAGGACAATAAAAGGACAAACATAGAAAGAAACAGAACCGAGAACCGACACGCCTAGAAAACGTGCTTTCAGCACTGAACAGAGAAAAAAGAAATGAATTCTTGTATAAAAAAACTAATCCGGGGGACACTCCAGAACGTGTGCGCGCGCGAGATATGAAACGGTATGTAAGTACTATGATGTCGTCAGCCGGTCAACCCGAGGACCTCGTAGGATTCGTCCACCTCGATGGACCCGTAGAAGACTTCCGGCATGATTTATGATTCATTCTCTATTTTTTCCCTTTTCGTGTAGGTTTTTTTTTTGAGCAAATTCCATTCGCGCATAGGCTCCGCTAAGCCATCACCACGAAATCCGACCTCGGCCGGTTGATGCCACTGCCCTTTGGCACTCGTCCGCCTCGCCGACAGATTTAATGGTCATAGAAAAGTGAGGTCACATCCTGGCAGATACCCCTTCGGTAAGCGGTCGTCGGAAGGTCCGCGAGAAGTGAAAGGATGGAGGGAATAAGAAGCAGACACAGATGTGAAAGTGAATTGGAAAGGAAATGTTGATGGTAAAACGGTTGAATGATAAAGAGATACTAGCAGGTACAGAAGTGTGATCGTGGAATGCGAAGAAAGCGAATAAGCAAGGAGGAACACCAGACGGGGAAGTGAGTCTGCATAATACTGGACGAAGGTCAATGCGAAGAAGAAAGCCGATGACACGCGATTTCAAATTTCTAAAGGAGGGTAGGGGGAGTGGGGTAAGAATAAAGCCAATCAAGGTGTCCGTCCCGCGGGAAGTGCCACGAGGCCATGAGACTCTGCAAAGAACAAACGACTCGTTAGGAAGGAGGGTAACGGCAAGTCACGGAGCGCCGCAATGCTTACAAGTACTGGAAAGGGGAGGTGTGATGTGGGTTGTTTGTTGATCGTTCCATCGCACCTCCCTCCTATAACGCACAACACCTTATCGCGGCAGCGAGGCTTAGACGCCAGTTACTCCCGCCAGACTGCTTCCAGCGGCGGCGTTCTCCACCACGTTTGCAGCTACTCGTTTTCCAGTTCGCTTGGCTGATCCTATGGCACCACAGGGGGGGTGAAAAATGTCGCGATAACAAACAAGTATGATCAGCACCATGTTTTTGACATGCTGTCACTTTCCATCACTAAAAAAACTCACCATGGTCGTCTTTGCCATTAGCCGCAGAGGTAGTGCCTGACTTACGCTTCTTTCCGCGATCGTCAGTCTGTGTGTCATTTATCGAATTGCCTCCATCGCCCTCGCTTGTGGCCGCTGTTGTCGGAGGTGGAGGGCCAGCAGGGGCACTCTCACCATCCGTTTCTGTTCCGGAGGAGCCTGGTGGTGGCATCATATGTCCTGGCATTACCGGGTAGCCTCCGGCAGCACCGTGTGGAAAGGCAAACGGCGGATATGGCTGCAAGGAATAGTATTGCGGTTGCATGCCTTGCTGAGCGCCAGACGGGTCTCCCTGCACTGGCTGTCCATCTGGTCCGACAGCAACAAACCCAGGTGGAGGGTAGAAATAAGGCTGATAGAATCCTTCTGTGTCAAAGCCAACCCATAACAATTAGTCCGGTAAGCACGGTGGGTCAGTTCAGCTAGGAGAATAGATTGCGCACCTGCAGAAGTCTGTTCGGGTGTAAATCCTGTTAAAGCAGGTCCATCATCAGACGTGAGAGCGCTGGAGTCAAGTTCGTTGCCTTACCCTCATAGCCGGTGTCAGCGGCGACCTTGCCCTTGCGTTTGTATGGGCCGCGCTTGATACCTTTTTTGCGTTCCTTTCGCTGTCCATCGATGCAAGAGTCAGAAATACCGTACTTGCAGCACCGTTCACAGGGCCTGCCCGCATCACATCGCTTGCACGCAGCTGCACAATTTGTACACTAAAAAATTTCCCCTCAATTGCAATCAAGGACGAAGGCACAGACGAGACAACTTACAGCCATTTTGACCTGCTTTCGCTTAGGCCGGACGAGGGCGGCTGGGAGCGGCATGCCTGGCGCAAATGGCATACCTGCATAGCCTGACATATCGGATATGCAATTTCAGCTATATTCATCTGAATAGAAGCAGTTAATTACCTTGCGGCGTTGGGTATGCGTATATCATCCCTGGGGGTGGAGGAGGAAACGCCATCATATAGGCACCAGGGGCAGCGTTTGGGTCGGTAGGATGGCCGTTGGCGTCTTGTGGAGGGGGAGGATACGGATACAATGGAGGGTACCCAACCGTATATTGGCTCGGCTGTTGAAGCGCGTACATGGGTGGTTGATTATTCTGTTGCTGTTGTTGGTCAACAGCTGTTGGGCCAGTTCCCTTATCCTGTGTGTCGGTCATGCCTTACGACAAGGGAGGCGTAGTGCGACGACAAATTTGATGGGGGGTGTTTAGGTGGATGGCAAAGCCGAGTAAGGTGAGCAGATCTATAGTTTGGACGAGGATGCATGTGAGGGGAGTAATTAATGCACAGAAACGGCAAGAGACGTACGCTAACGGGGAGACGTGTATTCTCCGATCGAAAAAACCGGGGAGAAAACCGGGCCCCACCGGGTTTGGCAGAACGAGTTTGATACCTGCATGGTCAGCAAGCGCATCGCGCACGTCGAAGACGATGTTGAGGAGGGTGAGGACTGTTTGCGCGGAGATCAAAAGGAGAGGGACCTACGCGACGGGGGCGTGTACACTCCGACAGGGATTCCGCCGTCGCCGCTTGAGACTGAGATTCAAACGGCAGCGACTGCGCCTGTGCCTCTTGCTCTCAACAACCACGCACAACGGCTGCAGCTGCCCTGTCTCTGTCTCTGGGTGCACACTGGTGGCGCCGGACGAGCTCACTGTCTGTTGTGGGCGGCGGCGACGGGTGCTTCTTTGCGATTTGACGGTGGCAGCGGTGTGTGAAACTGGACGGAACCCGTTTCGGCGTGGCACTGATCTGTTGGCTGGACGTGCGTGTCGCTGTCACCGCGGTCACGCTCGTCAGTCTACCCGAGCTCAGCGTCGAGGACAGCGAGGAGAACACGCACCAGAGGGCGACCTTGGGGTGATGCTGAGCGACTTCTGTTCCAACGTTCGCGCCGCTTCAAATCCACATCCTATGTGCCGTTTATAGAAGGTCTTTGGTAAGCAGCTGCTCAAGTAATCAATATAATGGTGTCCCTCCCCTCGAGTCTCCACACCTTCCCTTCACGTCCTATACGGAATGCACTCAGACCAATACGAGCGTTTACCTTTTCCAAGGCTCTTATCTTCAAAGCGGATGCACGCAAAAGTTACGTCCCTGTCTCCGCATCTAGCGCGATCAACTCACTGCACAACCTGTGGTTCTCGTACTTTTTCCCAGGGACTCTCGTCATTCTTCCCCAACCGAATTCAATCCACCGTCGAGCTTGTCAACATCCGTGCAGCTGAGCATGCGTACAACAACCTTCCGAAGCATCGTGGTCTGCACCTGCGTCTTAATCTCGCTTATTTCTGCCAGATGGATCCCACCATCCTGTCCAACAGACTCCCTCTGGTGACTTAACTAATCCCGGTCCATTAAATCCTTCTGCTCCGCGAACACCAACAACCTCTAAAATTATACAAAGGAAGCTCTATGGAACCTTCTACAGTGAGCACTTTATGACCGTAGCTCGATCTACGATCGTTCACGTGAAGTTGGGAAAGAGCGCGAGGTAGCTGCTTCTTGCAATCAGTCTTCACCAGCAGGCATAACCATCACCTCTTTGGTTGTCAGGTGTCCTGTTCCTCGGGAATATGCGAAGATCAGCCTTACTTGGATGGTTCTATTTCTCACTGACATCTGCCACGCCCTACCACAAGTAGTGGACCCGTTGTCGATGACACAACGATTATCGCGAATTAAACTTCCTGAAGGTCTTCTAACTTGCTCGGACATTAACAAACTCGAGGTAATATGTACTCTCTTAGAGTCAAGTCAAAAGCCTATTGGGTACCTTTGCAACACACAGCACTCAGTTCGTTCTCAAGACGACTTCTGTTATCGGATATCCGACGATAAAGCAGGATTCAGCCTTAGATAGCCGGAAATTGACGACGTCATGAGTGTCTTTGTGCGATTGCATTTGGTTATCTGCAAACAATAGGTGGCAGGCTAGGACACGTTGTGCATTGTGTACTGAATTGTGAATATTACAGTTACACTAATGATGTCACTTGTTACTTCATTTGTTCTTAATCACCCTAACCAAAACGATTTAATAAGAAACGTGCAGGCACAGTTCTAGAAGGTTGTATTGATTATAACTTCTGTATATATTAGGGAACTATTGTGTTCACCTTAAGTATCTAGTATAATCAATTATAATATTATATTCTGATATATTAAACTCAAGTCAGTGTTAGTAAATTTACCTAGTGTTCAAGACTGCTGTATTTCTTTAAATTAACTTTATATAGCTGTTTCAAATCTTCCTACTCTAAATAGGTTCATATTCTATTGATGTAAAATTGTATGTCTTGTTTCTTCCCTCTTTTACATTTATAAATATTATAAAATCCTTAAATATTTAATAATATCAACTTTAACTATAATATTTATTACTTTTATATTTATTGTTTTTGTTTATTTTGTACTCATTTTCTATCTGAATGACAAATAAGCTCTCTGTGTTAAATAATTCTTAACTTTAATCTATCTTTGAGTTGTGTCAGTGCTAGACAACAATCCGGCGAGCTCTCTTAGCAAATGAAATTGTAAACTCATTGCTGAGTATGAACAGAACCAAGATACAGCTCGACGCGACAATGTTAAACCTACAAAGGTATGAATTGGATTTGTATTCAAGGAATTCCGATATACATCTGAGCTTAGTGCTACTGTATTCTCGTTATTACTTTTACTTATACAGAAAGCTTTGTCGTGAGTGCACTGATGGATGGCGAGAAGAAATACGCTCCTCCCTTCGACTGGACAAATTCAAATGGCAGCTTCGTCTGTTGAGACTGGGCATTCGGGTTGAGACCAGTCATCTCGCGTTCTGCGCCATTTTTCTGGCCAACTGTAATAGTAGTCAGTGCACTATCCGTAATGAACCTGGACATGTACAACTTACTGATAGGATCAAATCCTGGCTGGACTGGCTTCTGAGGTGGGAACGATTCCGTGTTAACCCATGCTGCACAATGCAAATCTACATTATTCTTTTTTACAAGAGAGAAGAACTGTGATTCTTACATTTCTGGACGAACTCAAAGCCAGCGGTGATGTTGCTTTGGTAACAGACAAAGGCAAGTCCGCGATCAAGCACCGTCTTTTCCGCTTCTAAGAGCGGATTGACCTCTGGCCCGAAAGGAATGCTTTGACGATTGATCATGCGTGGCAGCAGGAAGTCTGGGGAACCACCACCTCCGGGTATTCTAAGTGTCATCAATATTATGAATTTAGGCCTATGCGAGTAGTACGCGGTCATGACAAGTACGTACTTGAGCAAATCAGCCCTTGGGTTTGTCTTACGGATGTGCGCGGCGAAGGGACAAATTGTCTGGTCGGTCGAGCTATCCGAGAAGTCGAAGTTATTGTTTCTCTGTGCGTCACCTGCTAGAGTAGGATCGTCTGCAAACGGAGCAAGTTCAATCGGCGCGCCGCTCTTCCAGCGTCCGAACATCCGGGCGCCGACCAGCTCATTCTGGTCAGCACTTGCTACGCGAGGGTCAACGATCGGGTTGTTTTTGAGGAATGCGTTGAATTCCGGAACAAATTGTTTCAGGTGGCGGTACCTATATGCAAAAGGTTTAGGTGTGTCGGCTTTTTGTTAGAAGAAAACACTGACACGAGGAAAGATCCGTTCTTCGCCCAAGCGGGCCGGGAGACGGTGTCACCATCGGTACCGCAAACAATAACACCAGGGGAGACCTCGATCTGGCCTGGTAGAGGATCAACCATTCCTTTGATTGCAGGGAACGAGATTCCGTCTTTGAAGCCCTATTTATCAATTGGTTACGTTTAGCGCCAATTGAGTTAACAATCGTGAAGGAACTAACAAAGTGCTCATGACCCTTCTCTTTGTCCGGACGAACACGACCGGGAACGGTGAGAGCCTCCGAAATAGAGGTAGCGAAGACAAGCCGGACTTTTGCCTCGCCTTCAAGAATGGATACATCTGAGTCTCCACCGAACTGCCGAAATGATTATCAATAAAAATTCCCAGAATGTATCTCTTGTATTGTACACGTACCAGGAAGATACCATCAACGCCGTTCTTAAAAGCATCAAGCCAGCCGGGGTCAAAGTTGCCAGAAGAATCTGTCGTTCCGTCCCCAAGGTCCTTGGCGCTTTCGATTTGTCCAGCATTGAACGATTGGTCTCCAAGGTCGTCAGTGACGCCCAACTTTATCGTTCTATTAGTAACAGTACATCTGTTAAGATCAGGTTCCCATACCTTCTTCAGGCCTGACTCTGTAAATGCGATGTTTATCGCAGATATCTTGACCAGGTCAACTATACCAGCGAGCTTGTTTTGCGCAATCTGCTGCTGCATCTTTTGAACCTGTGTTGTCGTTGTGATGGAAGGGACGATCTGCTTAAGGTCATTCTTGAAATTGGCGACGTTGGTGATATTGAAGAACAAAAAGTCTTCAGCGAACTTGGGAATACCGAGACTGAGTTCGAAGGCAGATGTAAGCACTTCGCAATCGATGCTAATGCAAAGAAACATACACAATGTCACCTGGAACGAAGGTATGTCAATTATGAGAAAACGAAACCATTGACACTGCGAAACTTGCCCTGAAGGTCATCGAGATCTTGTGGAGTCGGCCAAGCGGTTGAAGTCATGATGTTAGTCTGTTAGCTGTACGAGAAGATATGTACTATTGATCGGTGCGTGCAGTCAAGAGAGGAAGCGACGGACAGTCGTTGTTGGTAGTGGATAGAACCTTGGGCCAACCTCCTTTATACACTACGCATGGGCGCTTATTCGTTACTAAAGACATAATACGGAGGTTCTGAGAGGGCAAGCCCAGTGCTGTTACACGGATCATAACCCGCTTCGAGTTCTTAGCACATATCATCTCATGCAGGCGCCGTAACTTTTTCGACTCCGAAAGGCGCTCTACTTCTCAATGTTGAAAACTTGTGTCCGAAGAGTAGGACAAATAAGTTCTGCCCAGCATTTCGTCTATCTGCGCGAATTGCGGAGATCCAACGCAAGCGAAAGATGCGATCAGCAGGAACCAAAGACTGACCAATAGACTTCTGGCCATTTGACTGGCACTGTTCCGACTTTGAACATTGTTAGTCAGAAGGAGGTATGAAAGACGTTTCACGTAGAAACGGTAACTTACGCCATTTCCGGGAACAGACAAGGTTAAAGGCTCTGTACCGGGACGGAGTATCAGGCAGCTATACAATGAGATGTGCCTTGCGCATTTCATATTCCTGCATCGCACATAACAGTGAAGGCACACGAGATATGTAGTTGCCTTTTGATTTGTGTCAAATCCCGGAGTCCTGCTCAACGTGTCAGCAATTCGACGGCCAAAGCTCTCCATAATAACAAAACTATTTCATTCGCCTCCGCTTCTGTCGCATTCACGATCGGAGCCATAAAGAACCTAATCATAAGACGCGATGCGATATGAATGAGGGCGCTTGAGACTGTGACATGGGACGGGGATTTGCGAGGTCTCATCTTGAGAACCCTCGTTCCCGTCTTCGAAGTTCGTCGTGAGATCCGCTATATTCTCCAAGTCCAAGTGTTGCTCGGATGCAAAAACTCTATCGCTGCTGACATTTAGCTCATGATAGAGACATTGCAGAATGTCACATGAGAATCCTAAATGAACGAATGAAGATGGGTTGCGGCTAGGGGTGATCTTTGTGGATGTAGAGAAGAGACGCGCAGTCACGCATTGCACAAGTTTGAAGTTTCTCTAGTCGCTTTGATACGAGTAATACTTCCAAAGCATGATCTACTTCTCCGATTCTTTTGAGCTGCATGGAAGTGCACCGCAGGCGCTTGTGGCAGAGCTTTGAAAGAGACAGAAAGTGTGCATGAATACTTGCTTGTCAATTTTCGCGAAGGATGAAAATGCATCTTCCTTTTTTTTCTCACGTTTTCGGTTACTGCTACTACTCCTGCGGCGGCTGCATTTATGTCAATCTTCAACGTTAGGTGTCCAAGCACTCCTCGTGGAATCGTTCAGGCTTTATAAGATAAGTTACTAGTGTGATGAATGGCACGCATATCTTCTCCCAGGGTAGATTATAATAGATTAATTGTATAACTGAATTAAGCATTTTGGTATCTAAACCATGGAATTTCTGCTAACGTCAGGAAAAAGTCTTAATTATTATATACTCTTATATGCATATATAATATGTAAAAAAACAATATTATCCATAATGACATTTATTGCACCCCTCATTGGATAAGATATATAAAAGATACTATAAGGTTGTAATAAGACAGATTTATATTATGAGAATTAATAAACATTACATGTCCTTACAATGGGGATATAAGAATTATAGCTCTTAGGAAAGTCTATAATGGTATATATTGCACCCCTCTTCTGATATGGCATAATACTTCTTCTGCTATCTTATAATCCTTAAATAAGTTAATTTACAGCTTATATCTTATCTGAATGGCTTATTATACAATATATATTTTATTTAAATATTTTA